TTCTTTCTTCTCTTCTATTCTGTAATTCTCTTCTATTCTGTAATTCTATTCTATTGTATTCTATTCTATTCTACTCTATTCTATATTCCATTTTTTATTCTATTCTATTTCTATATTCCATTTTCTATTCTATTCTATTCTATATTCCTTTTTCCATTCCATTCCATTCCATTCCATTCCATTCCATTCCATTCCATTCCATTCCATTCTATTCTATTCTATTCTGTGATTCTATTCTATTCTGTAATTCTATTCTATTCTGTAATTCTATTTATTCTGTAATTCTATTCTATTCTATTCTATTCTATTCTATTCTATTCTATTCTATTCTATTCTATTCTATTCTGTAATTCTATTCTGTAATTCTATTCTGTAATTCTATTCTGAATTAGATCATTCAAAGCAGTAAATGCAGCCCATTTAAAGCATAACGTAAATGTAATAAAAGATAGAAATGCCCTGGGTCACCCCCGCAATGCTGAACATGAACTGAATATGGGAAAATGAGGACATCCACCTGGCCATCAAACGTAGGTTAGTCAGCTCTTATCATGTTCCCCGTAGCTACTTCTGGTTGTGAAAGTTGGACCTTAAAAAAAAAAAAAGCAAGACAGGAAGAAATTAGACCCGTTTGAGCTCTGGTGCCAGAGAAGGTTCCTGCATATTCTTTGGACAGCAAAATTGGAGCGCATAACACCAGACATGTCACTGGAGAGCAAAATCGCAAAACTGCATCTCCTTTATTTTGGACATGTCACGTAGGAAAATTCACCGGAGAAAGCAATTATGTCGGGAAGAGTTAGTGGTAAAAGGAAACCAGGCCATCAAAGAACACGTTAGTTGGACACCATCAAAGCTGACCCCAGCCAGAACATGGATCATAGAATAAAAGAGTTGGAAGGGACCTCAGAAGTCATCTAGTCCAGCCCTCTTATCAGGCAGGAAACTCTATCCCATTCAAAATAAATGATTGTCCCATCGCTTCTTTAAAAACTTCCAGTGATGGAGCATTCACAGCTTCTGGAGATAATTGTAGGAATTTTCTCCTTAGTTCTAGGTTGCTTCTCTCTTTGGTTAGTTTCTATCCATTGTTTCTTGTCCTGAAAAATAGCTCGACAGCTCTTCTTTAACATAGTCTGAAAATAGTTTGGCAACTCAACAAAGTAATGCAAGATGGGAAGAACGTAGAGAGAGAGACCAGGCCCATAGAATCGCCAAGAGTTAAGGCACAACTGAATGCATAACAGCGTCATCAAATCTGATAAATAGAAATAATAGAGAAAGGCCTCTGCAGTGAAAAAAGGAGGTTCAGTCTATTTATTGTAGGTGAATGGTTTAACTGATTCTCAACCTTGGCAAGTTGAAGATAGGTGGACTTCAACTCCCAGAATTCCCCGGTCATTGTATCATAGGGAATTCTGGGAGTTGAAGTCCGCCTATCTTCAACTTAGCCAAGGCTGAGAAACACTGAAGAATTGAGAAGCTTAAAATCTAATTTAAGCCATAAGTTGACCTGTTTGAGTCTGGGAAGGGCTTAGTTTTTGGGGAGGAAAATAAGGAAAAGAAAATTCTGCCTCTGCCTACCAGCTTCCATCGGTATTCATCTGGCTAGCGTCCTGTCAGTGTGTGAGAGAGTTGAGGGCTGTTTGGAAAGTGAAAGAGTATTTGCTGTGTGAGCAAGAAGGAGACAGCAAGGAGCCTGGGCGTGGCTTAGCTCAACTGTTCTGTACTAAAGCTGCTTGGGGTTGTGAAACTGAAACTGAAAGTCCTCTCCTCTGCTTGTGTTTTGCCTTTGGAAGAGATTTCTTTTCTGGTGGGGAGGGGGAATAGAACTCCTTAGCATCAGAGCTTGTTAATAATAATAATAATATAGGAAATACTAATGCTCTAATGGTCATTTTGAAAAATCCTTTCTTAGTGAGCACCTAGAAGCCAAGAGGAACATATGGGCTGAATTTTAAGTTTGTAGACTTTACAGTTCTGGAGATTTTGTGACGATGCATGAGTGGTATTTTGCTTTTATCTATATATTGATTTTTTTCCCTTTTTGGGTGGGGACAGGATGACCTGAGGAAGATCGTCACAACCCTTGCGGTAAAGAACGAAGAGATCCAAAATTTCATCTATTTGCTCAAGCAGATGCTTCAAAATGTGGAGGTAATTGGGGTTGGAGCTATGGGGAAAATGGGGGTTTAACCTTAAAATGGTTTATCCAGGTGTTCTCGGTGCAACAGGGCTCACCTGGGGTTTTATTGGGACATGAGCATACATGATAGCGAGTGGTGCGGTGGCCTAGAGATGGACTCTCACCTCATAATCAGGAGGCTGTGAGTTCGATCCCAGGTAGAGGCAGATATTTCTCTCTAGGCACGATGAGAATATCTCTGCTGAACAAAACTCCGCATTGGTGACAGGAAGGACATCCGGCCAGTAAATACTCAGTTCCATTCAGTTGCCCAGACTTCACCCTGCAAGGGATTATGGGGTCATTAAAAGAAGAAGAAGATCAGAGGTGGTCTTCAGCAGGTTCTGACCAGTTCTGGAGAACCGGTAGCGGACAATTTGAGTAGTTCAGAGAACCGGCAAATCCCACCTCTGACTGGCCCCGCCCCCATCTATTCTCTGCCTCCCATTGAGTCCCAGCTGATTGGCTGGGTCTCCTTTGGTTGCCCTGCACAGGAGAACGGAGCTGGAAAGCAGGTTAGAGGGGTGGGGAAGGAGTGGAGATTTTGCAGTATCCTTCCCCTGCCATGCCCACCAAGCCATGCCCACAGAACCGGTAGTAAACATGTTTGAATCTCACCACTGAAGAAGATGAGGATGAGGAGGAGGAGGAGCATACCTGAACACACCACCACCGCTGGCAAAATCAATTGTTCCTGATTTAGTTATCTATTGATTCCTTTTTTTTTTTAAATTAAGCCGGTATTATTTGATAAGTAACTTAAGGTGGCGGACATATATAATACAGGGAGGCCTCGACTTACAACAGTGATTGGTCCAAAGTCACCCAGTCATCTTTCACACCTGAGGCAAGAGTAGAACTCACTGTCTCCTCCAGGGGTGGGATGCAAATGTTTTTACTACCGGTTCTGTGGCCGTGGCTAGGTGGGTGTGGTCACGTGACTAGGTGGGCATGGCTGCTGCTTCTCCTTCTCCTCCTCCTTTTTGCAGGAACCCCGCCACCAACCCACACCCCATGCTCTGTCTTTTGGCTTCCTGGGCCTTAGGGAAACCTCTTGGGCGAAGCAGTAAGACAGCGAGGGGATCCCGGCACAGCTGATCGTCGGAACAGCTGATCGTTGGGAGGAAAAGAAAGAAAGAAATACCAGACCGGTAGCTGTTTTTTTACTACTGGTTTGCCCAAACTAGGCCAATCCAGTAGAATACCACCATTGGTCTCTTGGTGATTGGCCTAAATTCATCCAGCCAGCTTTGGTGCCTATGGTGATACTAGAACTCCCCATCTCCTGGTGAATGGCCTACCCAGCAAGCTTTCGTCCCTAAGGCGGGGCTAGAACTCTCTGTCTCCTGGTGATTGGACCAAAGTCACCCAACTGGCTTTCATGCCTAAGGTGGGACTAGAACTCACCGTCTCCTGGTGATTGGCCCAAAGTCACCCAGCAATCTTTCATGCCTAAAATGGAACTAGAATTCACAGTCTCCTGGTGATTGGACCAAAGTCACCCAGCTAGCTTTCACACCTAAGGAGAGACTATAACTCACCATCTCCTGGTGATTGGCCTGAACTCATCTAGTCAGCTTTCACCCCTAAGGCGGGACTAGAACTCACCGTCTCCTGGTGATCGGTTCAAAGTCACCAAGCTGGATTTCATCCCTAAAGCAGAATTAGAAGTCACAGTCTTCTGGTGATTGGCCCAGAGTCACCTAACCAGCTTTCATGCCTTAGGCAGTACTAGAATTTCCCATCTCCTGGTGCTTTGGGCTAAATTCATCCAGCCAGCTTTTTTTTATGCCTAAAACAGGACTATAATTCCCCATCTCTTGGTGTTTGGCCCACCCAGCAAGCTTTCGTCCCTGAGGTGGGACTAGAACTCTTCTGAAGATTGGCTCAAAGTCATCCAACCAGATTTCCTACCTAAGACTCACTGCATCCTAGTTATTTTTTTTATTTTTGTTGATGGAAAATAGTCCATAAAAATTTATCTCTGTGAAAGAAGAGATTGGACTACCATTTGTCAGAAATGGTGTAGGGTCTCCCGCTTGGGCAGGGGGGGGTTTGGACTAGATGACCTACAAGGTCCCTTCCAACTCTGATGATCTGTTATCTGTTAATATTTTTTTTTTGAGGGTCACAGTATGGCCAATTTTGAGTTCTCCAGATTCGGGGAATTATTCCACTTGGAAATTTAGCAAAGCGGTGATGTGATTTGGGTATTTGGGGGGCACCAAGTTGAGTTTCTGTCAGAGCGTTTGCAGCGTGACTACCATTATGGGACGAGCCAGGAGCAAAACACAGGACACAGAGACTTAAACATTGAACCGTGGTTTATATACACCAGTTATATACAGACATATACGTGGTAGGCAAATAATATTTCGTCTTCTTAACTCTACACAGAGAACTTCTGCAATGAATACCAGACACAAGGAGAGAGAACACACCCTGTAATGGCTGCCTTTCTATAAAACACTCCTTAAAGGGATAGAACCACCCCCAGTCTTAAAGGAAAAGACCCATGCTATGCTGATTCATGCTTATTGCATCAGCCTATATTGCACTAGACTTACAGCAGCTGGTAGCTATTCAATCTTACACCTCAACAGTTTCTCCTAAGCCCCCACAAACACACACTCATTTACACCCCAAATCACAACGGAGGGAGCCTACCGCTCTCCAACCCCACCAGGGCGGAAATATTTCCATCTTCTGGTTGTTTTTTTCTCCCACCAGAGTAATTCGAATCGGGTTCAAGAAGACCTGGAAACCGAGTTCCAATCTCTGTACCTCCTGCTGGATGAGCTCAAGGAAGGCATGTTGATGAAGATCAAGCAAGATCGAGCCAGCCGCACTTACGAGCTGCAGGTAAGGCTGCGTCGTCGGTGGGGAAAGCAAAAGAGAGGCCGTGCAGTATGGGTTTCAGGATCTGTAGCTGAGAAGATGATCCACCGATCCATATTGACCGGAGGGGGGGGGGGGAATTCTGGGAGTTGAAGTCTACCTTTCTTAAAGGTTACCAAGGTTGAAAAAAAAAAAAAAAACAACGCCGTCCGATAGGGTGAGTCGGGCCTCCAAGGAGGGCTACTTAAGGTAGACTGCGCTGGAACATGGAGGCTCAACTTAGGGCTTTCCCCCCCCAAAAGTTTGAGCATTCTAATCTAGACTCTTTCGTGCTGCTGTCCCCTAGGGGGTCACTTGTCTGTTTGCAACCAAGAGGCAGCCCTAGTGTTAATTGCGATGCGAGGCCTTCTTCGTTATTCATAAATTATTTTAATTAGTCATCTGTTTCCCTTTCAAAACCTACCTGACTTTTGCAGCCCTCTCTATCTTGCACCCGTGAGTTCCTCAAGACAAAAATGCAGGCACACCAGATTGTTGACTTGAACCCAGGTCTCTCAGCCAATTACCCCCTTTGGACTCAGTCCCTGAATCAAAATCAAGATTATTATTATTATTTTTTAAATAACATTAATGGGAATTCAGAGCAAGAAAATGAAAAAGGGAGGGAAGCCAAACTTCTCTTCACTCACTCTTTCAAAAAAAAATTTATTTACTAATATCCTCTTTTCTGTTCGTCTTTCGCACCCAGAACCAGCTGGCGGCGTGCACAAAAGCCTTGGAAAGCTCAGAGGAACTTTTAGAAACTGCCAACCAGACCCTCCAAGGGGCCGAGAATCATGATTTATACCAGGTAAAAATAATTCCTAGTTCTCTGTGTGTGTGTGTGTGTTTGTGCACACGTATGTGAGTTGTGTACGTTTAATTACAGAACAAATTTTTGCCAAGGATGCCAAGCCATTGGTTAAATCCGTGCTAAGAGATCCCACGATGCCTTCATAATCGTGCATCCTTCTTAACTGCCGTGCGGGTGGACAAGCTACAACTCCCTCGATCCCCCACAAGTCGGAGGCTGTGGATGCTGGGT